ACATTATAGGAACTTTACAACAGTCTAGATGGCAGGTGTGGAGGGAAGTGGGGGGCAAAGACTCTCAGATTCCAGGCTTGGGGCAGGGGCGGGTTCAGGTAGCTTGAGTCTCAGGTGCGGGGCGACACGCACATGGAGGTGTGTGCTCATTCACCCCTGCATGCATTGATTAATCAAGTGAGTAATTCATTAATCCATTTTCCATCCAGTCGGTAAACATTGTGCACCTACTGTGTGGGGCGGGAGACGGGTCTGGGAGGGGATTAGGGTCCACCGCCTAAGATCTGGAGCGTCAGGACAGGGAGTTTGGGCTTTGGCCTCTGGCTGGGAAGAGAGCACTGAGGACAGGGTGGGGCTGGGCTCCCAGGGCTCCAGGCATCTTGGGGCTCTTTATCCTCCGCCGGGGTCCTCCTGTCGTTGGCAGCTGGACCACCGAAGTCTAGGAGATGATTTTAATTGACACGTGGGCAAAAATTTTAATCTATTTTAATAGTTGTGTTTATGTAAATGTGTATTAGGAAAAACAAATGTATAACGGGCACATTCATGTCATGATTTCACAGACGCTATCGCTTAGGATGAAACCAAAATAGGCATTTAAGTAAAAAGACAAAGAGCTGGCTTGAAAAATATTCAATAAATAATCGTGCAAGTGGTATGTGATCATGGTACGCGGACGGCTCGAGCACAGGCCTTTCTTACCCCGTCACGGGCCAGGAGGCGCCTGGGGCCGCCCCGGCTCAGTCCTCCCGCCCCTCCGGGCCTGCTGGGCAGAGGGTGAGCTGGGCCTCAGTCTCACGGGGCCAGCAGCAACAAGGCTGCCCTTAGGTAAGAGGGAGCACGCCAGGTAGGCCGAGGGTGGTCCCGGTGGGTCCCTCCTGAGAGTTCCTGGGAGGGGGACGTCCACCCGGATGGAGGGCCTGGCTGTGCGTGGAGAGGTCTGCCCTGGAGGCCCGCACCCAGAGTCCCTGTATCCACGCTCCCTGTGCTTCTGTGCACACACCGACCCCAGGGAGCTGGAGCTCGTCCCCGTGCACGCACACGCTCCAGGCCCCGCAGTGCGGCTCTGCCCTCTTGTTTGCTCACGTGCCCCCTCCCTGGCTGCAGGGGGTTTGGGGGCCCAGCTGAGGGCTAATGGGCAGGCCCAGGCCTCAGGAAGTCTCGGGGCTGACCTCCCTCTCTGGCTGGGGGCTGTGATGAGCAGTCATCCCCGCCCCCCTCACCAACACCAACCTCTCCCGGCCACACGCCTGTCCCCCTCAGGTAATGGAAATGTCAGCTTGATTCATGGGCATCTGTTCGCCGCAGCCAGGCCTGACTTGTCACCCCGAGTCGGGGGGGGGGTGCGGGGCTCATCCCATGGGGAGGAAGTGAGGCGTCAGAGGCCATGGAGTTAGTTCAAATCCCGAGACCACCAGGGACCTGCACTCATGGCCACGGTGAGTCAGAAGGACATGATCTTCACCCTCATGGAGTTTGTCTTCCAGTGAGGAGACAGAGATTACTCAAATCATTCGAACAACAAAAATATCACTTCCAAGTGTGAGATGTGCTGTGCAAGTGAACCAAGGGAAGGCCTGATTTATTCTGAAACGGTGAGGGCAGGCCTCTCAGTAAGGGCCATGCTACAGGGACTGAAGGAAGCAGCAAGGGAGGATGAGTAGCAGCCACAGCATGTGCAAAGGCCCTGGGGTCGAGAGGACTGTTGTGTGTGGCTCTCTGACAGGACACAGTGCTTGGAGCTCCAGGGGAGGGCATGGAGTCTGCTACTGAGCAGTTGGTCTTCAGGGGTCAGAGCTGGTGAGGCCTGTGGGTTATGGCCAGGAGTGTGGCCGTCACCTGAAAGGTCACTCACAGGGAGCCATTGGCGGGAGGGTTTTTAGAGGAGGCCATGGTCAGCTCTGCATTTGGGCAAGTTCCTCCTGGTTGTGTGGGGGAGGCCTGGGAGACGGGGTGCGAGGCGGAGGCAGGGTGACCAGAGACAGGACTGCACAGAGAGACAGTGGGGCTTAGGCTGCGGGGGCACCAGGATGAGAGAAGTCACCCCAGTGGGGCTCGGGGACCGGTGAGGGCATGAGGGACATCCGGGCTCAGCTGGGCTGGCTTCTCTCTAGGCTCCTTCTGGGCTTCGATGCTGTGCCCACGGGACACCGGGGGCCCCTCGGGGCCATGGCGGGAATCCGGAAAAGTGGCGTCTGAGCGGCTGAGTTAGCAAAGCTCCTGACCCCAGACCACAGGAGGTGCAGCCCGGGGCACACGGCGTGGGGGCTGGAGATTAGCGCTGCTCAGCCCTCAGTCCGGGGCCGTGGGCAGTGGGTGAATCGCACCACCACACTGGTGGGCAGCCCCCTCCCCCGCCCCAGGACTGAGGAACAAATTCAGCCCAGCCAGGGACCATCAGTCAGGAGGAAAAACCAATCTGCTCCGTGCGCGGATTTACTGCTCGGACAGACAGGAAATCCCGGTGTGGGAACCCTTGCCCTGTCCGCACACAGCACAGCACGCAGGGGTGGGGGTGGGGGGGATCTGGGACTCCAGGGGAGCAGGGAGGAGTTCCACCGCCTGAGGCCGGGCTGGCGAGTGGCGAGCCCCTGCACCAAGCACCCCCCCTCCATCCTTGGACCTTCCCAATCCCCCCAGGAACGTCCAGGGTGAGTGTGGGCGTCCGGAAGATCAGGAGTGGCAGGTGGGAGGCGGTGCCTGCTTGCCCTGGCAAGGAGCCTAGGTCCGGGGCTGGAGGGCCTTGGAGTCCCAGCTCAGCCCCAAGGAGAGCCTCAGTGTGCACCCCTGGCAAGGGAGGGGTGTCGTGGGATGTGGCAGGTATGTCTTCCCTCCCGGGAGGTGCTCAAAGGACACCCGAGCAGCTCCCCGAAGCAGGTGCTCCCGGCACCCTACCGACCAGGTAAGGACGTGGAGTGAGGCCAGGCTTGGGGCAGGGGTGGCAGGTGAAATCCCTCGCCTGGACTTGACCCCTGGTCCCTGGTCATGAGTCCCCACAACGACCATCTGGGGACAGGGCACCCACAGTGTGACATCTCAGTGTCATGCTGGTGTATCCCTTCAGGGACGGAACCTAGCACATCCTGCTGGGGGTGAGGCCTTCGTACGTGCCGGCCTTAGTATCTTTTGGCTACTCTCGCAGAACACGGCTGCCAAAGGCCCGTCCGGCGGGGGCTGGGTGCCTGGAAGCGGGTCATGAATGCCCCACATGTCATAGAGCGCCAGGCAGACAGACCGTAGGACTCAGGGACACAGACCCATCAGATGGAGGCCCCATCTGCCTCCCCGTCTTGCCCCGAGCCTGTCGCCGACTGGACACCAGAGGCTTGAATCTCACCGCCCCCGGGTGAGCCCTCTGGACGCACAGGCCGCTGGGGCCCGATGGCCAGGCCAGGGCCCCACGGCACTGTCACCTCTGAGGCCTGCAGGGCTGCGGCGAGGGATGCAGGCAGGGCCTGAGACACGGGGGTGGGAGGCAGAACGCCCAGGGCAAGGTTTCTGTTCTTCCACCAGGACTGAGTGTGGGGACTGCCACCCCAGCGTGCACAGGTCACCGGGCCGACCCCAAGGAGGTCTCAGGGTCCAGGAATGATCCCCTCCCTCCTCTGACTTCCCAGGGAGGGACATGCTCTGGGGCCTTCAGGGGGCCACAGGCTGAGGATTGCAGTCTTCAATGGGGACTGGGAAGGGAGGGGACGCTGGGGTTCATGCTGAGACGCCGTGGGACTCAGGGTGGCGGAGGTGCTATGCAGGACTGGTAACTGGTGTGGCTCACTTGGTGTTTGCTTTGGTTAAGCTGAGCCAACACTTACAAGTGAGATTTCACATTAAAAATAGAACACAGGGCACCTGGGTGGCTCAGGTCATGATCCCGGGGTCCTGGGATCGAGTCCCACATCAGGCTCCCCGCAGGGAGCCTGCTTCTCCCTCTGCTGGTGTCTCTTGAATAATAAATAAAATCTTTAAAAAAAATTAGAACACCTGGATGTCTGATGTCTGGCTTCTTTTTTTTTTTTTTTTTTTTTTTTCTGGCTTCTCTTAAAATCCTTGGAGGTCTAGGATCTCTGTCCCAGAGAAGGCATGTGCACTGCCCTGTTGACCAGGTCCTCCTGGGTGGGCTCTGCTCCCTGACATCAGGCTGGGACTCTGGCTGGCTGATGTGAGGCAGATTACTGGCCCAGGAGCCCACCCCACAGAACACTGTGGTGCCCCTGGCCCAGCCTCCCACCTCACAGAACACTGAATGGCCTTGCCTGCCCCTCCAGGGTTTCGGGGGCTGGCCCAGAGGTGCGACCACGGGGGGAGGTGGGGAGGCCACCTGAGATGGGTAGGATCTCAGAGGGAAGCCCAGGCCAGGCCAGACAACTCCGCCTTGCGCCTGGCACAGTGGAGGGGGGTGGGGTTTCTCAGGGGCCCTCTTGTGTAGCACCCGAGATGTAGCCCAGAACCACGCCCCGCCAAGTGAGCCCTTTCCCACTCAAGGGCTGCTTTATCCAGACGCCAATGCTTCAGCTCTGAAGGAAGTTGGAGAGTGGGAAACCCGAGACAGCCCAGAAATCCAGCATCTGGGGCCTTGGCTTCTAGGGTGCACGTGGGCCTCAGGGAAACCCCAGGACCAGAGGCCCAGGACTTCACCCCACCTCGGCTCTCCTGGGGTTACCCTGGGCTTTGTGCACTAATGGCTTCCACTGCTGTGTGTCTTGGCCAAGTCCCTCCACCTGTCTGTGCTTCCATTGTCTCACCTGCAGGAGGAGGAGCATGATAGCGATACCGGGTAGGGCCGTGATGGGGATTCCATGAGGCAGAGCCACGCACAAACTCACCCCTGCACAAACTCACCCCTACGTAGGTATGGGCTTCGCTCCTGCTCAGGCCCCCAACTGCAGGTGGTGTCGGAAGGTCAGAGAGGGCACCTGCCCCAGCCACCTGAGTCTGTTCTTGGAGGCAGCCTGGGCTCCCTCGGCCTGACCCCAAATCCTGCACGTCAGACCGCATTCTTAATAACATCTTTTATTGATTTTGCGAGAAAAAAAATAGAAATTTATTTTACAGTTAACGCCTGCACCGCTCTTCTCCCCCTCCTAAATCGCGCGGCGCATACAACTATGATAAACAGCCGCGGAGGTTGTGCGTGGCCTCGGGGCCAGCTCCCCGGGTCGGACCTGTGCCCGGGCTCGGTCTCGGCGGCGACGGAGCTGGGCGGCCGGGAGAGAGGCGGCGCTGGTTTGGCCCCTAGGAGCTGGCTCCTCGGCCCCGGGGGTGGGGGGCTGGGGGGTTGGGGGTTGGGGGGGCAGCCGCAGCTCCCTCCCCCCCCCCGGGGGCCCTGCGGCCTCCTCGCAGACGCTCCGCACATCTGGGAGGCGCGCACAGAAGCCCCGGCCCTGGAAGCTACAGGAATGATGGATCTTCTCCGGGAGGAACAATTCCTTATCTCCCCATCGGCCCCACGCTCCAAATGAAAAGCGCATTTGCATAGCTGCTCCGCCGAAGCTGCAAAGCCCATAAAGTATTTGCCGGGCTCGGGCGCGCGGTTGCATAGGAACGTACTCGGGGCGCAGGGCTGCGGCGGCCGGGCCGCGCGCCAGGGAAACAGCGGATTAATATTTGCAACGAGAAATTACCCACCGCTGGGAAACCAATTAGGTCCCTGATCCGGGCTTGTTACATCGATGGAAATAGATACGTTCGGAGCTTCACTCGGCTGGGGGTGCAAGGCACATTTCCAACTCGAGGGGAAGCTGCTGGAAGGGGGCGGGCGGGGAGGAGGGACCGGGAGGGGCCCGAGCTCAGGCCCAGGAGGGGCCCCGCCTCCAGACAAAGTTCCGGGAGGACGCGGAGGGGGGCCGTGGAGGGGGTCCGAGGGGAGCGCCCCTCCCACCCCCCGTGCGCCGGGAGGCCTGGCCGGTGGGCCCTGCTCCCTTCCTGCGTGAGACACACCTCCCTGAGGGGTCCGTCCTCGCCTGGGATGAGCCAAGGGGGTGGAGCAGTCCGGGCTAGACGTTGGGGGGGCAGGGAATGAATGACTCCCCCACCCCCAGCCGGCCGCAGCAGCCCGCCCTTGAGGCAGGGGTGGGGGGAGAGGGGAGCTGTTGGCACCTCCGCTGCAGCCTCCCCGCATCCCCTGGCGCCCCCTCCTGTGGGGTCTGAGGCCTCCCGGGCCACCGCACCCACCCGAGGCGGCCCAGCGGGGGGCGGGGCCGGGCCGAGCTGCTGTGCCCCGGGGCGGGGTGGGGGCACGCGGAGCGGAGCGCAGCGCAGGGGAAGGCCATGCCACACGGGTGCCCTCTGGCTCCCCTCTTCCAGCCCCTGGAGCCCAGGCTGCTCCAGCTGAGGGCCGGGCGGGCGCCGGTTCTCCCTCCTCCGGGTCAGCACCGCCATCGTCGTACTGTCTCCTTCTCGCTTATGCACGTTTTGGGGCGTAAGGCTGTCAAAGGGAGGATGCGGAGGGGAGGGCGTCACCCAACCTCGGTCCTCGAGGGCGGCCCCACGCCCGGCCGCCGCCGCAGCCCCCGCAGCCCCCGCAGGCCCCCCCAGGCCGGCCCCCAGGCCTCTGCCCGGCCAACTCCCTGAATGTCTCAGGCGGCAGCTCAAGCACCACCTCCTCTGGGACGCCCTCACCCCGGGCACCCTCCCCTGGCTTCCCACAGAGTCCGAGGGCACGCCTGCACCGAAAGGCCTCCCAGGAAGCCAGGCCGCCGAGCTACAGGTGCCCGCGGGAAGCAGGCCTCGCTACTCCCGGGGTTCTGACCCCACAGCCCCTCCTCGGCCCCGGAAGCCTCCTGGGGAGAGAAGAGGGGTGCAAGGGGCAGGCAGGGGCGAGAGGCTGTGGGACGCTGCCAGCTGCTGGTCCCTGCAGCCTCGAGTCCCGAGGGCGGCCTCTGCGCAGAGCATCCCAACCCACCTGGGTCAACTGCACCCTGCTTCCTTTTTGAGTTGGTGATGATTTGGTTTTCATTCATCATCTGGACGTCCTGATCCTCCACCTGATTGCTGGGAGGAGGGAGAAGACAGAGGGTTCAGCCCAGGCCATCTTTTTAGGGCCGGCCGGGGAGGCCGAGGGCTGGGCGTGGGCGCACCTGATGGCCGTGTGTCGCTCCTGGCGGCAGATGTCCGTGTCCTCGGTGAAGAGGATGGTGTGGTAGGGCACCGTGGGCTCACATGTGGGCAGGATGCCCCCCACCAGGTGGCCCACCATGGCCAGGATTCCGTTGTACACAAGCAAGTCATCCACCAGGAGCTGGACAGACACAGAGGAGGGGCTGCACCCAGTGGGGCCGGCCCAGGGTCCCCTGTGGTCCCCTTTGCCCCAAGGTCCTGGGCAAAGCATGTTACTGCTGGGAGCGTTGTGGGCTAGCCTGGCCGGCGTTGGGATTTCAGGCCTTCACGACCAGGGAAGGTACCTGTGATTAGCCTCCCGGGGCCCCGCTCGCCCTGCCCCAGGGTCACCTCCCCGAGTGACAGGTTCCCTAGACCAATATGATTGCAAAAGAAAAGCCACTTTCTGGTTTTCAGGGTGATGATTCAAATCACTCGGAGTAGGTTTTGAATTCACGATGGGATGGCGAATTTCCCTGCCTCTGAGAACCAGGCATTTGTGTCTAAGGTGGCAACAGAGAGAAGTAAATCAAACTGCGACAAATGATAATTGCCGGCAGCCTAATTACCAACGAGCATAATTATCTCGAAAAACCCAGCTGATAAGTACTCACGCCAAACTCTTTCACCCCTCGATGGGGCGTTTTTGCGTAATTCCACAGTTTGATCATTGACACGGTGGTGGGCAGATCGAAAATCACATAAACTCGGTTCACCTGTCAGAGACAAGAACTCATTAAAACAGGCATGTTTGGGAACAGGCGCTGGGTGGGGCGGGGGGTGCCAGGCGCGGGCAGGGAGGGGCTGGCCCGGTGGGTGCTGGAGGCGGCGCCCGGCTGCCTGCCGGGGGCTGCGGCGCTGGGGTTCCCGCCGCCTCCCGGCTCCTGGAAGCCCATCTTGAGTCTGGTCACGTGTGGCTGCGTTTGCAACAAACCGCTCGCCGCCTGGCTCCCGGAGGGCCTGTTTTCTTGGGCCTGGCGTGGCCCTCATTTAAATACCCGCAGAGAATTGGGTGGGCCCTTCTGTCTCCCCCAGGTTGGGCCGACACCCAGTGCGGGGCTCCCGGGGCCAAAGGGGCAGGCCGCGCGGGTGCAGAGTCACGGAGCACTGTCCCCGGGGGGTCAGCACCGCCTTGACCCCGATCTGTCCTTTCTCCAGTCATAAATGAGAAGCACAGCAGATAGGCCCTGAAGGCAGTGCCGAGTAATTTCCAGCCCATGTCTTTGAACCTCTGCAGGGGGTGGGGGAGGGGGCTGTCCAGATGAGTGGCCAGACCAGCTAGGAAGGTCAGACCTGGCGGCCTCCCCCACCCCCCGCCACCCTCCCACGGTCCCCACAGAGACTCTCCTGTATTAGGAGACCCCCTGTGAGAGAGAATACAGCAATGAGCATCCAGTGCGGGCCGCAGGCTGCTGGCTCAGCTTGGCCCCAGGCCCCAGGTCGCAGGAGGCCTCCGAGGTTGTCGTGGGTTGCAGGGGTGGGGGGACTGCCGGGGGAGGGTCGGCCTTCTGACTGTGCCGTGGAAATAGTAAGAGGTCCTCAAACCCAGCTGCCCATGGGGCTCAAGCAGATACAAATGTTTGAGTCCAGCAGGGATTGTGACAGCTGGACACACTGCCTCACACCAGAAGTGGGCGGGGGGGCCCCGTCTCAGGCCCAGAGACCCCTGGGGTTCTCCTTGGCAAGGGTGGGCCCAGCCTCTGCTCAGGGTCTGGGGAGGGCGGGGGACACTGTGGAGAACCTCCCACACGGAGCTGCTGGTGCTGCCCCCGTTCTGTGTTTTGAGAGGAAAATACACCTCCTCATCCTCCTGCTCAGTCACAGGGAGGGGAAGGGGACCCTTCAGCGGTCACACGCACGCGCTAGGGCCTGCTGCACTTCTCCACCAGGCATCTGGCTGGCGCGGGGCTGGACCCACCTGTCCCCACCCGGCCTGTCTCCTCTCTCTCTCCCCCAACATCAGCCAGGCCTGGGGGAGGGGGGGCTAGAAGGCCCAGCCCCAGGTCCCCAAGTGACAAGCGGAACCAGCAGGAGGGCCGGAGATCTGCGAAACTGTAAGAGCTGACCCGCGGATTTGGGGCCAGAGAGGGGGCAGGGCTGGGGTCCAGTGCCCCGTGGCCTCAAGGAGGAGCAGACACAGGGGACGTGGCCAGGGGACAGCACTGCCCGCAGGGACCGATGGACGACTGCCGCAGGGCGGCCCAGAGCCCTGTGTGGGCCCTCCTCTATCCCGTGACCCCTTGCGGTAACAACCCCAAGCGCAAAGAGAAAGAACTGCCGGCCCGAAGAGTGCCCATCAGATGTGTCAGGGAAGACCTGTGCCTTCCTGACAGCCCATGGCCATTTTGATTTGTTGGAGATGAACTTGGCCTGGAAGAAAGAGCGACCGAGGACCCAAAGCCCCCCCCTCTGCCCCCTCCTCCCGCCCCAGGGCGGGGAGCCTCCGGGAACCCACCAGGCCCGGCAGGATGGGAGCCAGCCACATGTGTCTGCCGTCACTGGTGTCATTCACTTGGTCGATGAGCTTGTCGGGGGTCCGGACGTCGCCGCACACGCCCTCCAGAGAGTTCACGCTGTCAGGGAAGGCGGCGATATCTGGGGAGCCTCTAAGCTGCCATAACCCAAAGCAGTGTGCTGGGGGCTGTGGGCCACTCTGCGGCCACCAGCCTCGTCATGCTGACGGCGTGGCTTGGGGGACACCAGGGCTGGCAGCAGAACAGCCCTCTGCTGCTTGGGGCAGCCTGACAAGTGACAGCCAAACGAGACATTGTGGGGAAAATGAGCACGGAGGCCGACGGGGGTATGGGTGTGGGGGGGCTTCAAGGACAAGGGAGGCGGCCGTGCGGACAGACGGCTGGACAGAGCGTGGTCTCATGGGACTGTGGGAGGCAGACACAGAATTTGTGGCTGGCACTCTGGGGAGGGGAGGGCACCCTGTGAAGGTTTGCTGGGGGACAGCTGGATGTGGCCTTGGCATGCGGGGACTGCCCTGCGACGCCACGGGAAGCACTGGGGGAGCCTGGCCCGGCTACGGCCACTTGAGTGCTGGCATCACGGCGGGTCGGATGAACCAGTTCCAGCTCTGGCTCTGCCTTCTGACCTGGGAGGTCTCGGGCGAGTCACATCTCGGGGCCTGTTCCCTCCTCTGGAAGATGGGCATAACAGCCTCCCCCTCCCAGAATCGCTGTGGGGATCTCAGAGGACACTGGCTGTGAGCAGGCTCGGTCGAATCAACAGAGCCTTCTACCTCCAAGGAATCACTAATAACAGTCAAACCCACCAGGAATCATTTATCCCAGGTGAGGAGGAGGGTGTCACCAGGGGAAGGAAGGCAGGACAGGGTCCCACTGGAACCCAGGGACCCCAAATAGGTGTAAGGCAGGCTTTGGGACTGGACCTGCTCTGGCAGGACACTGGGGTGGGTGGGGGATCACAGGCAAGCACCTGGAGGGGTCGGGCAGGTGACGTCAAAGAGAGAGACACCCCCCCACACACACACACAGCTCAGAGGGCAGGGCATGGTCTCTACAGCGGGTGCCCAGCTCCACACTCACATGCTGTGTGACCTTGGGCAAGTTACTTAACCTCTGTCTCAATTCCTCATGTGTCAAACGGGGATAACAGCATTCAATTCACAAGATGGTTGTGAGGGCAAATGAGGTTCCGTGGGACAAGGCCTCCCAGAGCGAGCCCTCAGTAAAATATTAGCAATTTGTTTTGGGGTAGAAAACAGCAAGGACACGCTTGGGGTAAAGGGCAGTGGACACTCAGGTCCAGCCTCCACTGGCATGTCTTGCTAATTTCTCAAGAGGAGCTGAAGACTGAAATTTTCATGTGAAACCCCCCAATTTTTAAAAACTATTAGCAACTAATCTGAAATATTTAAAAACTCAGCAGTCCAGCGGTTTGCGTATTCTGGTGGGGGTGTTCCACCAACAAAGGGGTCCATGGTCAATAAATTCAGGACAACACTGGGTTGAATACAGTGCCACAGGCTGCGTCCTGCAGGCCTTGTCAGAGCCTTTGGAACTCCAAAGCACCTGTGGTTCTCCAGGAGTGGGTGCGGCTGGTACCCTCTCCCAAATGCCTGGGCCACGGGCGGCCCCCCAAGGGTCAGCATCTGACCCTGGAAATAGCCCACTGGCATTTCTCGTCCCGGGGTCAGGCTCCCACACGGACATGTCCTCTCCTTCCTGGGACCCTCCTGTGCTCCCCTCAGTCAGGGAGAAGTCCCCTTCTGCCTCAAAAGGATACTGTTTTCCGACAGAGGGATTTTTTCTCCTCGCTCATCATACAGCTCCAGGCCTGTGAGACCGATATAATAGGGGTCACCCCAGCTGGTCAGGAGCTGCAACTGGAAGATGACTGGGACACGTTATTAAGGAAAAACAGGCTTAATTTTCTGAGAACAAAGCAAAACAGTGACAAAAATAATATACTTTGGGGGCCTCTACAGATGAATGAAAGAAAAAAGTCATTTTTTTTCTCTTACTGAGACTGAAGCCCATCCAAATATATGTGGCATTAAATTTTCTTTAATTTAAACTGCCTATGTGTATGTTTTAAGAATTAAAAACCCTTCTCTGAGTCCTAGGAGACAGGAGGACAGGACGGGAGGTGGGGAGGCTGCTGCTCTCCAGGGAGCTGGCAGGATGAGAACCATGTGTGTCACAAACTCACTGTGTGCTGGCGCTCAACAAAGTGACCAGGGCTCACACCGTCTCATGCCTCAGTTTCCCTGGTTGTAAAATGACAAGAACGAAGTACCCGTTCCCTCCCCCACCCATGTCAAGCGTGCAGGGAGGTTAAGGTGGGGGGAATATGTGAGCTCTGTAGCATCAGGAGGGATGGGCTGTGGCCCGGTGACCCGCCAATGCTGAGTCCCGCAGTCCTCAGCCCTGTCCCCCACCAGCTCCCAGCCCTCCAGGAGTGGGCAGGGCAGGAAAGGTGGCTTCAGGCAGTATCATAGCCACAGGCAGTCTGTTTAGGAGAACAGGTACTGAGAGAGCCAGGCTGCTCATGTTCATGAACCTGCCCTGCCCCCTCCCAGCTCTGTGGCCTTGGACGAGTTGCTTAGCCTCTCTGGGCCTCAGTTTGCTCAGCTGTGAAATGGGGATGCTCGCAGCATCGCCACGCCACGCTGTGGTGAGGACTGAGTTAACAGAGGCAACCCACTGTAACGGCGCCAGGCCCAGGAAGGATCCAGCAAATTTGGGCTATCATCACTTCTCTGTTCGCCTCCTCCCTGCCTGGTCTCAAGGATGGCCCTAGTTCAGTCCCTGGGGAGAGTTCGGGCTCCTCTGGTCCCTCCCAGCTGGGTGGGTGCTGCCTCCCAAAACCTCAGCCAGCCAGGGCGCGGGGTCTGGAACCCTGTCACCATCCCTGCCCTTGCAGCACCCAGTGAGCTTGGGGGCCCTGGGAAGCCTCCCATCCTCCCTTGGGCTTCCTCACATGGCGCCCCAGCTCCCCAGCTGTGGCCTGCCTGGAACCCCGACACTGCCTCTCCTGGGGTTCTGGGCACGGGCCCCAAGGGCCCAGGATGCGCAGACGGGCAGGAGGAGGATACAGCCGCAGGGCATCAGGGGCGCCTCATAGTCCATGGTCGCACGCTCCAGGCTTTGCAGGTCGAGCCTAAAAAGACACAAGACAGCACCGGGAAGCAGAGGATTGCAGTGACCTGGCAGGTCAGTGACTCCGCAGGTGGCAGGGTGGGGTTCCCTGACAGTGAGAGCGACCACTGACGTGTGTCCCGTCCCACTGTGGGAGACTCGGGGCCCTCGGGCTTGTCCATATGGATTCTTCTTGCCTCAGAACAACCCTGGGAGGTGGGTCCTTTTATAGCTGTGGCTTGTGGGTGCGGAAGTGAGCACAGAGAATTGAAGTCACTGGCCGAGGGACACACAGCTGGTTAGGTGGCACAACTGGGATGTGACCGGAAGTCGTCTGGGTCTAGAGTCCGCTCTTAACCACCCAGCCCTCCTGCCCCTTCCTGAACAGGGCGAGACCACGCTGTGCTGACAGCTGGATGAGACTCCCAGTGCAGTGACGGCCTGGAGAGAGTGCTGGGCTGGGTCGGGCTACCCTACGGGGAGGTCAGGGAGCCAGTGCCTGAACTAAGGAGGGGACAGCCACAGAAAGATCGGAGCTGAACCTTCCAAGTAGAAGAGCAACGAGAGCAAAGGCCCTGTGGTGGGAGGTGGAAAAGCACCAGACGGGCTGGAATGTTGGGTGGGATGGGAAGTGGGCAGGGAAAGGAGGCTGGAAGGTGGGGCGTACCCTGAAGGCTTCGGCTTTGTGATCCTGAGCAAGTGGCCTCAATGCCCACATCTGTAAAATGGGCGGAATAACCCCTCCTTCAAAGGGTGGGTGGAAGGAGTCCCTGAAGGATGCATACAATCAGATCGGGCACCTGGGAGAGGGTTCTCTCCCCCTGCACGCTCCTCCCCTTGGGGCCTCCCTCCCTGGTCCGGGGCCAGTACCCTCCAGGCCTCGCTGGTTTTCTTCCATTTCAAGGGCGATGTTATAATTAAGTGGCTGTTCCCAATGACCGGCCCAGGAAGTGATCCCAGCCACAGTGGAGAGAAACTCATTTTGTGTTGTGAGCTTGGCCTCTGGCGTTGGGACACTGGGGGGGTTTAAATGAGTAAACGCAACGTGGCATTTACAAATTGCCGTGAACTTAATGCGGCTGAGACTGCGGCCAAGAAATACCGGCGCACCCATGAAATGTTAGGCTCTCATTTCCTCTCTGAATCTTTTTAAACCAGGAATTCAGAAACAAGAGAGAGAAGGCCCTTCCCCGAATTGGCCGGCGGGCATTTCTGGAACGGAGGCCGGCTGCAGCCTCTCTTCCCAGCAGGAAGTGCAACGAGGCATTTAAAAAGCTCAGGCACTCCAGACTGTGGGGAACCCAAACATCCCCAGACAAGGTGGGCACATCCCCCGGGCTTCCGGGGAGGCTTGGCAGAGCTTTAGAAAACCGCCAAGTTGAAAAGCGATGCGTTTGATCATCATTTCAAAACCTTTAGGTAGAGGCTTCAGAGCGATGCGTGAAGCCAGCAGCCCGAGGACGGGGAGGGGACGACAGGACGTTCCCGGGGCTGCTCGCCCTCACCTCCGGGCCGGCTGGGGCAGCTGGCGAGCCTGGAGGTAGTCCACAAAGAGAATTTCTTGAGCATAATCAAAGTGGCAGTTGCCCGGCCCCTTCCGGATGAGGAAGCCCTCTGGAGGGGAGACACACAGGCCGTCCAGGGAGATGTGCACGATTTTGGCCTAGCAAACAAAAGGAAAAACATGCCTGAAGAAAGGAGGCCAGCCAGCGTGCGGGCCGGCAGCTGCTGTGCATGACAGAGGCCCGCCCGCAGCCCCCAGGCCCGAGAAATCGCTCGGCCTGGCTTTTTTCTCCGACCAGGACCACTGGCCAGGTCCACGCTGTCTGGTGCCATCTGCATCCCATGCCAGGCACTGTGTTGCGCACTGGGTGGATGGCAGGGGACCAGGCAGGTGAGGCCCCTGCCATGGGGGACCCCAAGTTTCAGGGGTGGCACCTGACTTGCGCCCCCCCTCGCCTGCCACCCCGTAGCTGACCAGTTGCAGTGGCTGGAGGTGGTACAACGTGGCGGTCCAGGGCAGGGGGTTCGGGTGCCCTGATACTCATCACTAGCAGCTCTGCAAGTTCTTACCTCACCTCCCTATGCGTCAATCCCCTCCTCCGTTAAATGGGCTCACTAATGAGCTAACTTATGTAACACAGTGCCTGGCACGAGGTGTGTGCTCAGCAGGCGGGCACTCAGTAAATGCTGGCTGGGACACGGATCCTTCTTCATACTCCGGCTCACAGCTCACCTACCCCGGGGGCCAGGCCATCTATATCTGCCTCAGGCCTGGTGCAGAGTGGGCGCTTACCAAGAGCCCGCCGAATGGGTTAGATTGGGGCCAACATGCTCCCCCGGCCTAGGACAGATTTCACCAGCCAGAGGCTGGGATCCACCAGCAAATCTCAAAGCCTTAACGGGCAGGGTCTGGGGTGGCTCAGCTCTGCTTCCTTTGGGCAGGGGGGCGGTGGGTGAGTACTCTCTCTCCGGCTCACATTTTGGGATCAGGACTTCCAGCATCTTCATGGTGAGCAACATGACCCAAGTGATGACCAAACTGGTAGATTTTCAGCTCCGGGGGATGCAGAAGGGCTTTTCCATGCAGAAAGGAGCCCTGCCCTGGGTCTCACTGATAACTAATGTGCACCGAGGCCCTTCATTCCTTCAGCAATTTGGGAGCTCCCTCATGGCAGCCAGTCACGGGGCACATAAGCCTGAAAAGTGTACGGTACATGGCTTCAAGTGTGGTTGGATATGGGGACCCAAAAGCTGTCTCTACATTTCCCCACTCGGCTTTGCTTAAGGCTGATTCAGACCCTGGCCCAAGGGTGGACACACACAAATAGAACTGTCACCCGCTGGCCATGCAGTTGGACCAGGGACACGGAACTGGACCAGAACAATCAGCGTGACTCCTGGGGTTTTGTTGGCTCGCCTTGAATGAAGAGGTCCCTTTTCGGCTAGCCAGAAGCTGGCAACAGAGAGCAGAGGTCCAGGAAGGCCTTCCTCCACAGAGACTGCCTCCTCTACGAAGTGCTCCTGACTTCCCCAGGCCTCTGTTTCTTTCCTCAGATAGAGCTTTTATTATCACCTCCATCTTACAGCCAAGGAAACTAGTTCAGAAAGGCTAAGCAATTTGCTTAAGGACTCACTGCAGGGATCTGAGGCCCCATCTCCAGCATGCAAGGCCCGGCTCTAACCACACGCCAGGTGCTCATAAGCAGGGTACCCAGAGGGCCTTGGGGCACACAGGCACCCAAAGCATTTTTCTGGGGAGGGACAGAGTTTCCATCACCTGCCCTCTGGGATCCCCCTCTCAGATTGTGTCCATCTCTCCACCCCCCTCCATCCCATGGTGGCCACCTGTCACCGGCACCAAAGCTGATGGTGGCCAGGCCTGGGAGGCAGGGGCCCTAGGTCCAACATTTCCAGGTAGCGAATCCAGGCCACAGGGCCTCAGCTGATTGGCTCAAGGGAATGCAAAGGCCTGGGGCATGAGTTGAGCCAGAAGAAAGCTTTCTCAACGCCAGTGTATCTTACTTTTTAAATGTGCTGAACCTTAGAGTGTACTTGGGAGACACCAGCATGGCCTGGGAGGATCTGTAGACCCTACAATCAGATGAGCTGTTGCTCCAGAGGGTAAGCGCCTGGGGGCCACGGACTCCATGGTGGCCAGCTCCCACAGTGCTGCAGGCCCCACGGGGCCCATGGAAGAAATTCTGGGGCACGTGCATGGTGGGGAGCCACACCTGGGGCTCACAGGATGCAAGGCCTGGCTTTGTCAATTTCTGCATGGCAGAGGATGATGACCACCTTCCCAAGGCAGGTAGCATCCTCTTCCTCCCCATTTTACAGATGAGGAGACTGAGGCCCAGGGAAAGCAGGCCACTTGCCAAAGGTCACATGGCTGGTTAGGGTCAGAGCAGGGATTCGGACCAGGGCCTTGTGACTTCAGGGCCCCAATGGCACTGCTGTATCTTAGGGGACATTATCACCATCACTTGTGTGTTCTAGGGAGAGGGGACACACCTATCAAGCCCACAGTCATATGAGGACAGAAAAACCCATGCAAAGGGCACTTCTGGTGCCTTTTGTCGAAGTACAGTGGAGACCCCTGCTTTGTCACATCCTGACGAAAAAGAACATAGTGTGTGCTCCAAGCCCAGTGGGTGTGCCCTGGGGCTCTCACGGTGTGTCCCTAGGATGAGTGAGTGTATATTCTGAACCTCAGTTTTTAATACCCTGAAAGATGGGGTATTAACTTCCCAGAGGCTGGAGTGAGGGTCCCATGAAATGAATGAGTACAGAGCCCTCAGCTCAGGACCTGGCCCTCAAAGAGCTCAATGAACAACAGGGCCCCAAATTCACCACTACGGTTCCGGGCTGGACCGCTGAGGAACCCGGCCCCCAAGAGAAGCAAAGTGCTTCTGTGTCCCAAGTCTAGCCTGGGAACTTTAGCCCATATTTGGTGTTTGCAGAAGAAGCAAATAGCAGTGCGCTCTCTCCCTGGCTGTAACCCCCCCAGCTCCATTTGGAAAATTCTGGAAGATTTATGCTCCTCTCTGGCAGCCATGCCAGCTATTCATCAAGGCACCGTTTCCCTGACAGTGGACTGAGCGCGGCTGCTATTCCCCAGCTTACCCCGCGATAGGTGTCCTCGGGAGATTTATTGTAGTTCCAGAAGCGCAGGCCTGCGATGCTTTCAGCTCTGTCGAAGCGGATCGTGACCATGTGGTCCAGGCCAGGCGAGAAGGGGATCAGCCACATATGCTCATCCTCCATTGTGATGTTGGCTCCATCGATTAACCTGCAAACAGTGGGGAGGGAGCAGTGAGGTAGGGCTTGGCCATGACCTGTGGGAGAAATCAGAGCAGGGGGTCTATGCCCCTTTATGGCCCCCTGCACCCTGCCTGGTGTGAGCCTGGCTGCACTGGGCTTGTTAAGTGGAGGCAAGACTCATTACAGCCACTGTGAGGGGCCACAGCTCATCCGTAAAATCAGACAAAATAAGGAAACTGGAAGAAATAACAGCCTGTGCTATTAAAGGTGCAGTGAAATGATCATCAAGGTTTAAAATAAAGAGGGAAATGTGTCATCTTTCAGGACCGTTTAACCTGGGGATCCCATTTCTGACATTGTTTTCCTCTAAGGAAAATTCGTTCAGCCTGCAGGAAAGGCTATCTGCACAAAAATATTCATTATAGTGTTATTTATGTCAGCAGAAAAAGAAAAAAAAAACAGGGATCCCTGGGTGGCGCAGTGGTTTAGCGCCTGCCTTTGGCCCAGGGCGCGATCCTGGAGACCCGGGATCGAATCCCACGTCGGGCTCCCGGTGTATGGAGCCTGCTTCTCCCTCTGCCTATGTCTCTGCCTCTCTCTCTCACTGTGTGCCTATCATAAATAAATAAAACAAAAAAAATGAAGATATTTAAAAAAAAAAAAAAAAACAAAAAAAACCCCATGAGGTCTCAGAATACAAAGGGTTAATTAAGTAAATCTGTCCAGTTAATATGATAATTGTGAGGATGATGCAATGATATGGAAAATGATCTTAATGCTGGAAGCTGAGGACAGGAGCCAGGAGAGACCACGCAAGGATGAAAAACACATTTGTGTCAGAGGGGATGGGAGACAGATGCTTTTCTCTATTTTCCAAACTTTCTATAAAATGCTGTATTGGCTCTACAGAACATTCTGAAAGAATTTGATTCCTTCTTTCTGGTGTCAGGTGAGAGAGATGCTAAGGTACTGGGGTGAGTTTGTCGGCTCTTGGTGTGAGAAAAGCACCAGAAGGGGCAGGTGTGTCTGTGGGGGGCTGGCCTGGCCAGTAACCATGCGGCCTGGGCAGCCCACGGAAGACCCTCGGCCTTAGGAGGGAGCCCCTAGCTCCTTGTGTTCTTCTCAGCTGCTGTTCTAAATGAACTCATCACCTTGCCCACATTGTACTCCTATCCTGGCCAGTTTCCAGATCTTCTGCTCTGCACATCCTGCCTCATCCCCCTCAACCTGGCCTGTGTTTGTCCCAAAGACCACCATGCCGCTGACTGCCCTGAACTGCCCAGCACACCGCAGCCTGGGCCCCAGGCTGTTATCCTTATGGCTCTGGCCCGTGTCCAGCATTGCCACTGAACGACCTGGCCCCAGGAACAGGGGCCCAACTCTCAGCTTCTTGGGCAACCCTCCCCCCTCTTCTTCCTAATTTCCTGGTGACTTTGAGGCTGCCGCATTGGGAGAAATTCCTAGATTTTAAAATAAACTTTTTTTTTTTCCTTTTACATTTTAAAGTTCTGGATTTGGAATAAATCTTACAATCTAAGTGTTCATCCAAGGAAGTAATGTTTCTTTTTTTTTCTCTAAAAGTCTGTTATTAAATTGATGGATGGTGTGTCTTACAATTGCTGGCATCTTAAAACTGAGGAAACTCAGCAATTTAAAACAGAGGTGTTTGTGGAATTAGGCTGACTGGAGAACCTTCCATTTCTTTCTAAAAGCAATTACTTCTGTGTCCTAGAGATGGGGCTGCCTCCATACCAAAGCTGTTACCTGATTCTGAAAGTAGAGAGAGTTGTTGAAGTGTTTATAGTTGACGGTGAAGGAAGGTCCCTATAGACACCATCAAGAATATCCACATGAACTTGATGGGATGAGCACTGGGTGTTATTCTATATGTTGGCAAACTGAACACCAATAAAAAATAAATTTGTAAAGAAAAAAAAAAAGAATACCCACATGACACTTCCCAGCTTTGTCCACAGAAATCGTGACGAGCCCAGTAGCAATGAGCATCTCTAGTGGCTAGATTATGGTCTCTAAATACCATTTCCCAGCAGAAGGAACCAGGGCTTCTTGGGAAAATATGGCTGATTCCACATTTGGGATAGGAAATATACAAGGGGAGCCTAGAATATCTTGTCACATCAGAAGGCAGGAAAGCTGTCACACTACTATTTTAAAAAAGGATCCAAGAGCTCCCAGTATCTAATAACATCAATAAGATAAAACTACAATAAATTGAAATCCTTCAAACATAGTGTTTAAATCCATGATTTATGATGGTCAAACACAAACTTTTAAAGTATGTTAGAAAAACAATTTTTTATTTTGCAAACTGAAAAATTAAGGGAAAGAACCCAAGCACTTAGACTGCCTTTCCAATTTGCATTGTACCTCAGAGTAACCAAATCATTGAAGAAAAATTTATCTTTATTGATAAAAAAAAAAGAATGATAGGACCCACTAGTGCACCATCACCTTGCAATCAAGTGGATCTAGCCACTGAGCACTGACTGTCAATGTCACAAAAAGCCTTAACACCAGACACTCTATATGTCCTGAAGGGAATTCACAGTGACATCCACACCCCCACGGTCATATCTTGCCCCAATGGTCAAACCTCAACCAGATGAGGTGTCTAGATCTGATGAATAATTTACAAGAAATACAGGAGCTTGAGGAACAGGTTAAACAGTACCACAGAGATGCAACCAGTAAAATCCAGACCCTACAGGGCAAACCCTCCCCTTCTTTCAAAAGATAATTTGTAAGAAAAAGTGAAAAAAGGAAGGGAGCCTAAAGATTATAAGAAGTTAAGAGACATATCAGAGAGTTGTAACATAAGGTTCTTAATTGGATCTCAAACCAGCCAATCACAAGGCTTGGACCTTATCTGGACCTTAATTCAAGAAACAAAAAAGGAAGATGAGGAGACAGTCAGGGAAATAGGAACATGCCGGATGTCTACTAATTTAGGGAATCACCAGTAATTTTTAGGTGATTCCTAAATCTCACTCAGTAGTGAGATTATGTTCCTTTTAAAATCATTGTTTAGGGCAGCCCGGGTGGCTCAGCAGTTTGGTGCTGCCTTCAGCCCAGGGTGTGATCCTGGAGACCCAGGATCGAGTCCCACATGGGGCTCCCTGCATGGAGCCTGCTTCTCCCTCTGCCTGTGTCTCTGCCTCTCTCTCTCTCTGTGTGTCTCTCATGAATAAATAAATAAAATCTTTAAAAAAAATAAAATCATTGTTTAGAGCTACATACTGAAATATTTAGCAGAAGTGCTATCAGGCTTGGGATTTGCTATGATCACATAATCTGGGTGGAGGGGACGGTAAGTGGGCGGGTGTGGATGAACAAGTGGGGCCCGCCTTGTGATCACTTTTGCAGCAGGAGCTGGGTCCGTGGACTCCAAGCCTGAGTATGCGGGAGTGTGGTCCGCCAATATGCGGAGTGCCGAGTAGTTCTTGAGCAGACACTGACTGCAGGCATGAGGGCCACGGGTGAGGAGTCCCTTATGGGAGAGCAGGGAGGAGTCTACCACTAACTGCAGGTGCTCTGGGCCAGGCAGGGGGTGCAGGTGCAGTGTGGCGACCCCCTCCCCGCCCTCCAGCCAGGGGACTTATCATCCTCTTTCTGCCCTACACCTCTGATAAGGCAAGCGAGGCAGGGGAAGACAGTGGAACTCAGTGGGCTCCAAGAAGAGTCACTACAATTTTGTTATTATTACTATTACAACTAGAGAGGTTAAGAAACTTATGAGCTGGCAAAGGGGCAGAGCCAGGATTGGAACTCTCATCCCTCTGACCCCTGTAGGCTCCCCCCTTTGACACCTCCAGGCAGAGCCCAGGCCCTGCAGCTGTCCCGAGCAGGGGGCCCAGCACCAGTCTGCAGTGACGGGCATGTGGACTGATACTATTATGCCAGGCTTGCCCTATTATTGACTGGCCCCAGTCTGGGCTTATGAAATCAGACAAAAGCAAAGGAAAGCACCCACAGCTGCCTGCGGAGACTTCCAGAGCCAACCCCCACCCCGCAACCTGGAGCAACGGAGATCTTTCAGCCCGAGAGGTGGGGTCACTCATGCTCAGATGCAGAGCTGGCTCAGCAAAGGCTGGCCAAGGTCTCACCTGCATTCCTGGCCCTTCACTAAGCGTGGTGAGAACAAAGCACAACTGCATCTGGGAGCAGAGGAGCCCCGCCCACCACTTCTGCCTGCATGGCCCTGGGAGGGTCACCTCCTTTTCCCAAGCCTTGGTTTCCCTTGACTCTAAAATGGGAAGACCACCAGGGTGGTGCAGTCAGTTAAAGGTCTGACTCTTGATCTCAGCTCAGGTGTCAATCTTGGGGTCAGGAGTCTAAGCCCTGTGTTGGGCTCCACACTGGGGGTGGAGCCTACTTAAATAAATACATAAATAAAATGAGAAGACTGCAGACGCCCAGGGGTGGCTGGGGAAGGTGGAATAGGGAACACCGTGTGATGTTGGAATCTGGAAAGATGTAGAGCAGCTCCCCGAGCCCCGGCTCTGCATCGGAGCCTGAGCCACCCCGCCTCTCGGGGGCCAGAAGCGTTCTGTTGCTCATGGTTGGAGGAGATGGCCCTGGGAGTCCCTGTGGGAGGCTGCCTACAGACACTTACTTGTCCAGGGTCCGGGAGTCATCGGTGTACTCGGGGAGGTCATTTAGGTCTCTGGGGGAGGCAGTGATCTGGTGCAGGCTGATGGGCAGTGCCTGGCCATCCTTGCCCACCACTTCCAGGCCTGTGAGCCCCAGGTAATGCGGGTCCCCCCAGGAGGCAGTGAAATTCAGCTGGAGGCCTGTAATGGGAGGAGAAGCGGCCCATGAACACTGGAGGTTCCAGAGGAGGCTCAAGACAGAGACCTAGAAAGGTATAACCTCAGCCTCTGTGTTCTACCAGCGTGAGAACCCAGACTGGAATGAAAGTGCCTTCAGGGTGGGCTCTCTACCTTTTCTCCTAGTGACCCTAGGGCCTGGGACACTGCTGATGTTCTGGAAATGTCTGCAGGATGAATGGACCAGTGTTTAAATCTGCACATGGGGGCTGCCTGGGTGTCTTGGTTGGCTAAGCGTCTGCCTTCAGCTCAGGTCATGATCTCAGGGTCCTGGGATGGAGTCCCACGTCAGGGCTCCCTGGTAAGCAGGGAGTCTGCTTCTCCCTCTCCCTCTGCCCCCCACTCATTCTCTGAGAAATAAAATCTTAAAAAAAAAAAAAAAAAAACAATAAACCTGCACATGGCCCTGGATCCTTTCTCATGCATCCATCATGTTGCTCTACTCTTCATGCTTCCCGTGATGCTTGGCTAACAGACCTTGTCTATCTGGCTTCTACCTAATAGTCTAACCTCATTTCATACTAGGGAGCAAGGCTCTACCCAGACAATCTTTTAATCATTCACATTTCCATTCCTCTCTCCCATCACAGAGCCTTTGCACATGCTGTTCTTGCTAGAACTCACATGACCTAGTGTGCTTACCCTTCATATCCCGACTCACTTCCTTAGGGAAGCCCTTCTGACTTCTTTGACCACATCAAACCTCTATCTACAGCCTGCCATGTCACAAGTGAACTTCCACTTCCATGCTCTGGTCACCACTGTGATCTTGTGACCATCTGGTAAATAGCCGTTTGCTCTGCCAGATGGCGAACTCCCTGAGAGCTGAAACCCCATCTGATCTGCTAGATCTTTGTGTCCTCAAAGACTGGCACAGTGCCTGACACATAGTAGGAACTCAGTATAGATGGGATGTTTTAATAAGTACACAGAGGGGTGCCTGGGTGCTTCAGTCGGTTAAACGACTGCTTTCAGCTCAAGTCATGATCCCAGGGTCTTGAGATCGAGCCCTACATTGGGCTCTCTGCTCAGTGGGGAGCCTGCTTCCCCCTCTCCCTCTGTGATCTCTCTCATTCTCACTCTCAAATAAATAAAAAATCTTAAAAAAAAAAAGTAACTACATGGAGGCAGCTACATCAATCTATACAGCACATCAGAAATGGGCATTTCATACCAATTGGGCACCATCACAAGACTTCCCAGGATTCAGAGTAAGGAAGTGACCTACAAAGGTATGCCCATCTTTTTGCTGCCGCCTCACCCCTGCTCCACCAGGGACCATCTAGAAGTGACTCTCTGTGGTCCTGGGGCATATTGTCCAGGTGAGTCATCCATTTGCCCGGATAGCTCAAACCAAATGAAGCCTTGGTCAGGCTCTGTCAGATATTTGGCTAAAACTTCTCTTTTCTTACTGGTCTCCCATTAGAGCAAGCACAGGCCCAGTGAACTCTCTACACTGGGAGAATGTGGAGCCTCTTTTACCACCCTTCTGGGGGGCTGTGTTAGAAAACTCATACTCTTTGCAGCTTTCACAGAAGGCCAACCCTTTAGTGCTGGAAGGAGGCTGCCTGGATGTCACGTGGTCCCACCTATTTCAGGTCAGGTGTGGAAGCAGAAGCCCAGGGAGGCCGCAGGGCATCCCTATGGCTAGGAAGTGAGGCCAAGCCACCCAGCCTCCCTGGAGCTCGGCTTCTTCTCTTACACGTCATTTCCAACATGCGTGTTGTAAGTCATTCTCAGATCCCTCTGCTCTCCATGGGGTCGAGGCAGCCCTGAGCATCTTGGGGGTAGATGGAAAAGATGTGACTAGCAATGGGATCAGGCACATCCTAGCTTCTCATAGCAGCAACGGGACGCAAAATGGCCACTGATGCTTTGCAGCGTGACTTTGCTGCTTCTCCCATCCAGACACAGGAGCCCATTTATCCATTCCCTGAGTCCACTCCCTGAGTCTGGGCCTGGTGATTTGCTTTGGCCAATGGGAGAGAAGCAGAGGTGGTACGGGCAGAGGATGTAAAGCACACACACGCACTGGGGCTTGTCCTTTCTCACCACACTTGGGAGGTCTGCCGTGTGAAGGAACCAGGTGAGACTGGTCTCCCTATCTCTCTGGCCAACAGCCTCCCATCTGCTTGGAATGAAGACATCCAAGGTCATTCAGCTGCCAGCCCATCTGCTAGCTGACCAGACCCGTGAGCAGGCCCTGAAGAGGACAGCCAAGCCAGCTTAGATGAAGACGGTTCAGGCAAGCCAGGGAATTATGAGTCAGTCATGGATTAAACAGTCATGGCTTAGTGTGCTAAGCCACTCAAGTTTGGGTTGGTTTGGTCTGCAGTGAAAGCTAATCGATATACTCCTTTTCATTTCAAGTCGGTGTTCAAATGTCATCTCCTCAGAGAGGCCTTCCCTGACCATATGCGCTCAAATGGCACCACCTCCCTACCAGCTCCTGCCTTATTTTTTGTTACAGCACTTGTCACTACCCGACAATGTATTCTTCATTCATTTCATTCATTTACTTGTGTGTTTTCTCATCTTTCACTAAGATGGAAGCTCCCTGAGGGGAGGAGCTCTGTTGCCTTTGTATCCCCAAAGCCTAGGACAGTATCTGGAAAATAGACAGTCAATAAAAGTTTTTTTTTCTTCTTTTTAGATAAATGATGGGTTGAAGAGTAGGTATTCAGTAGATAATCACGGGTAAATGAATCAAAATAAAATCACTGGGATGCCCGGGTGGCTCAGTGGTTTGGCACCACCTTCAGCCCAAGGTGTGGTCCTGGGGTCCCGGGATCGAGTCCCACATCGGGCTCCCTGCATGGAGCCTTCTTCTCCCTATGCCTGTGTCTCTCCCTCTCTCTGTGTGTGTCTGTCATGAATAAATAAATAAAATCTTTAAAAACAAAACAAAATAAAAGCACTGAGTTTCACCAAGTTCATAGTGAATGGCAAACAAATATTCATTGATCATCTACTATGTACAAAGCCCTGTCCTCGGTCCTGGAAATCCAGGCATCAACACACAGCAGAATCTCTCTGGGAGCTTCCATTGCAGTGAAAATGGACAATGAGCATATAACAGACATATAGGAAAGTTCCACAGAGCCACAAATAGCATGGAGACAAGAAGGCACAACTTGTCAGGGAGTGACTAAGTGGATGGGGGAGCAGTCAGGGAGGGCCTCTCTGAGGTGGTGATGCTGGAGCTGAGACCCGGGTGATAAGGAGGAAGCCATCATTCCTCAGCATTCCTGGAAGACCATTCCAGGTTGAGAGGGCAGCAAGGGCTCTGGGACAGGAACAAATCTGACCTGTGGTTAGGGGCAGTGGAAGAAGATGAGGTCAGAAGGGCCGGTGTGGGGGGGTGCTAGATCATGTCATGAAGTCCAGATTTTCTTCTGTCTGTGGTGGGGAGCCACTGGGAGGGTTAGACTTTGAAGCAGGGAGCTGACTCGAACCCCTCTGCATCTTGGAAAATACACTTGGGTTGGGGGTCAGGCTCTCCAGGGAGACCAGGGAGGAGGCTGTTGTGATACTGGTGCCCTGGACAAGGGGTGGCCCTGGTGAAAATGGGGGGGAAGCAGACAGATTCAGGATCTGTCTTGGAGACAGCACCACCAGGATGTTCAGTGGCTTCTGCAGGGAAGGAAAGAGACAATGTTTTTGACCCAAGCAACAAAGTGGCTGTGGGTACTGGTCCCAAGAGGCAGAGTACACGATGGCAGAGGGAGTGGATTTGGATGAGGGGATCACCGTGAGGGAGAAATGCAACCTCCCCCAGGCAAAACAAGAGGTGGCCGCCCAGCCTCTCCCCAGCCACCCACTTTGCTTGCTTGGCACGACGGACTGCAAGGGCATCTAATTTGGGGTTGCTCCAAAAGCTCCTGCTCTCCTGTTTGAGCTAATATTCACGTTCTATATTCATTTTCCTCTGGTGTATCAATTAGTATTTATATAAATGGAAATTAATTTTGTTATTTCTCTCCCACGTTTCAACTCTCTCAGCTACTTTCCTATTCATCACTGCTGATATTTGCAAAACGCCCAAAATTAGTGTCATCTGCAAATTAGCAAGTCATATATCCCCTTTCAAAACATTAATAGGATTGGCCATATTTACCAACCCCAGCGCATCCCCCCGGGTCACGTTATCAAAGCTCTCTCCATTTGCACAGGCTGGTGAAGTGGGTTGAAGATTTGAGACAGTGGGGGAAAACAAAAAGGTTCAGACAAGAGAGATTCGGAAATCATATGCCTCCAAAAAGTGCAGAGGATGCTTGGTCAGGAGGTTCTCCTTCCTACTGAGCAGAGCAGCTGAGAAATCGCACGTTCCTTACGGCAACAAGGGCTCTGAGCTCTGCTCCAGGGCAACACTCCCGAAGGTATTGAAATACATTTCTGAGAAAGGTCAGAAGCCGCTTCAGCAGGAAGGACATTTACAGACAGCATCTTTGGGGAAATGATCAGATGAAGGGGATGGTGGCTGCCTCCCGCCAGCCTCCTTTCCCTCCTTCTCTGGCTGTGGCACTCTGACCTCTACCAGGGCTCCAGGGGGCGGCTGACCCCTGGTCTCGGGGCTCCAGGGATGTGCCTCTGCCTCAGGTGTGGCCAATCCCAGTTTTGCACCTCACACACCCCCACTCCCCACCACAGTGAGCCGCAGCCATTGGCTTACAGATGGCAGGTGACCAAGGCAGGCCGAGGAGGCCTGATTCTGGACCCGTTGCTGGACTCCCTGGGAACCAAGGCTCTCATTTAACTGGGATTGCCGGCCAGAACGTGAATGTAAAGCCAGGGCTTCCAGGGGGACCTGTTGTGTGGATGGGTCCGAGTGGGAGAAAGGCAAGAGAGAGCAAGACAGCGCAAAGAGCGGGAGAGAAACACCAGGGCATGATGACATCATTTGCACCCCCAGATCCAGCTATATGGACCCAATAAGAACGGAGTGTTCACTGAGATACGGCAGGGAAAGCCTCAGCAGGGTGCCTGAGTGGCAGACAAAATCAAGCCCCAAACCAGGCTCTTGCCTGCCCTAGGCTGGCTCTAGAAATTCTCTGTTGTCTCAGACTAAGTGAGAGAAATTGAGAGAGTGTTCTGGAATGTGAGGAGCCATGAGGACTCCAAGTCAGGTATCTTCCCCTTCTAAGAGGGAATTTGTCTTTGGGAAGTGAGGGAGGCAGACACGGTTCTCGCTGGGCAGGTGGGCAGGCCTCTTGGGGAGGAAGTGGGTGACAGCAAGGCCTCAAGAAAGGGGTGTCGAGGCTGCTGGGGGTTGGTGCCCGGGTCCCACGCCCACCCCTGGGACTGAAGGACTCACTCCTCCAGGGGAGGGGAGTGCCAACAGCCTCACAGTTGAGTCCTCCCACCCTTGCTTCCTTGTCCTTGCCTGTCCCCAGGGGCAGCCCGCATCCCAAAACTTGCAGATACAGACACATGGAGCCCTGACCCCTCACTCAACTCAGGACTGGTTCAAAGGGCCTTTGTAGCTCCAGGGCTCCCTCTGCCCATCCTGCTTGCTGCCCTCCCTCAACAGCTCGCCCCAGGGAACCCCAGCAAAGAGTGGCTGACAGAGTCTCCTGGACGGGGCAGGGGAGAGAGATCCATAAGCCAGGGCCTGGGGTCTGAAGATTCCCCAGGACGCAGCACAGGTGCTGGCTGAGTGTGTGTACTGAGCGGGGAGGGAGCAGCTGGAAGGGTAAATGGGGAAAAGAAGAGGGAACAGACACAGTGAAACCCGGATGGGGTTTGCTCAGAGGCCACAGACATGGTGTTTTAAAAATATCATAATTAGCCACCCAACACTTAAATTTTTGGAGATTTCACATAAATATCCAAATCTCTGCCTTCTCAGAAGACCCAGCACCCTGGGCTAGTATTCCTGCTGCCCCCGCCCCACCTGGAATGGGGAAGATGCAGATTTTCTTTTATGCATACATCTGGGTTTGAAGGTCCCAAATCACTGGACTGACAGATGCCTTGGATCTCTTCCCGTCTGTTCTATGCTTTCTGGGCTCTAGCTGCAGCCTCCTGGGTCAGGGCTACAACTAACACATAAGATGTCTGCACTCAAAATACAAAAGTGCCCTTCTGGAAAGGCCTGCTGCAGAGAGGTGTCCCTCCTCCACAGTGATATAGACCTGCCACGACCAGCGAGCCAAGTCTAGGCTGTGTTACCCCCCATTCATCCCGTGGCTTGGCATCTTTGTGCCATGTACAACCGGCCCAACTGTCCGAGGGTCCCTGACCCAGTAGCCATGGCTCTCCCTGGCCCCTGATGCTCCTTCTTCCCCTGGATACTGTCCCAAAAGAGGATACTCACAGATCCCATGGTAGATGCCCGGCTCTGGCGTGGTTACTTCAGGGACAGGGGGACTGGGTGGCGGCTCTAGCCCCGGGATCTACACATGGGTTAAGGGAGAAGCAGAAGGAAAGTAGGTGACTTTTCTGATACCCGTATAGCTGGCTGGCCATGCTACTATCCACCCGAGCCCCAGATACTCCCTTGTGTCTTTTCTTGCATTTTCTGCCACCATGGAAGCTGTGTGACTGATACCATGGGCAGACCCAGAAACCCCTGTGTGTCTGAGTCCTTGCCAGCACCTCTTGTTGGTAGGGGAGGAGTTTGAGGCCATCGGCTAAGGTGAGCAGATTTTCTGGAGCAGAGAAAGACCCAATAAATGTTTACCTAGGGAGCCTGAGGAAGGAGGCAGGGAGGAGGATCAGCAGAGAGGGATGGAGGGAGGGAAGAAGGGGGAAAAATTCAACCACAGAGAGTGGCTCTCAACCTGAGAGGCCTGGGAATCTGCCTTTTTAAAGCTCCTCAGGTGATTCCCAAGGGAAGCCAGGATAAAGAACCCCTGGTCTACAGGCAGACAGAGGGGGCAGCCACACCCCATTTCCCAGATCTCATGGGTACATCTTGCTCATTAGATTGCTACACCGTAAGTTAGGGCAAAAGGGCCTTTACTGTTTTGCAGACAAGGAGGCTGAGGTGCAAAAGGAGGGGAAGCTGGCTGTCCGGGTGTTAGAGTTTTTTGGTGGGGATGGTCTTTCAGTCCCGGGAATCATGGAACCCTCGGCCTGGCCCCTTAGACATAGCCTCTTGAGGCCCTTTCTTGCCTGGCTGTGGGGAGGAGGGTGAGGAAGATGGCCTTCCAGGAGCATGCACGACACCAAGCAGCTTCAGGCCACCAGGGGAGGCTACTGTTCTGGCACCCATGTGCCTTCTCATGCCTCCCAGAGCCTCCTGGGACTCTCCCTGGTGGATCTCTCCCTGGTGGCTGCACTGACCTGGACACCGAGACAGGGCGGGTGAGGCTCCAGCCCTGGCACTTTCTAGGGTTGTGACACTGGCCTCCCAGAACACGGGCTCCTTGTCTCTGAGACGGTGAGGATTCCTTCCTGTCCCTCCCAGGCTGGATGTGATCAGAGACCCTTAGAAGCATTTGGAAAACGCTGGGCACATGAAAGGAAGCCTTCAAGGTCAGCTCCCGACTGGAGACCCATGAATCACTTCTAGACCACAGACGTGCTGTGGCTCACAGAAGGTTTGAAAGCCTTCCCACTTAGTTGCCAACGGTTTTTAATTGGGACATTTTCCATAAAAGCCCAGATTTCTGGCTTCTCCCGGAAGAAATGAGGACAACTACCAACATGAACTAGCAGCTCCCGTCTGTCCTGAGAAGCAGGGGCCTTAGCACCCCCTAGTCTTGCATGACACTTCTGCCTGGCCCTGCAGATTTTTACCCCCAGTGAACACAGTGGAGATCTGCACACCACAGCCTCACAACCTTGCCGGGCCCTGCCTTCTGTCCTCTGGTTTCCAGCTGTCCCCGCTCCCCTCCCCCACCCTCTGTAACCATCTCCTCTTTCTGCTAGGGTCTCAAGACCATCCCTGGGGGTCCTGGCTCTCCAGATTACTGGTTCTTCACTTAGACTGACCTTTCCCCTGAATGTCATCTTTCAGTTCCTAAAAAATTGGTTTATGAGGTTAAAAACACAGACTTTGGAGTCACGCATTCAAGTTCTAGCCTGGTTACGTTCCTGCTGTGTGTCTTTGGTCAAGTCACTTAACAGGTCTGAGCCCTGATTTCTCAAATGCGGATATTGGTGATCCCTACTTGTAAGGGTGACACGATGCTCTATCACCGGATTGCCATATGTGTGCAGAAAATGATGGTGAGGTGATCATTATTTTAATTCTAAGGCTGCCTATTAAAAGCGTTCCTAGTCCTTTCCATCAGAAACAACAGTGAGCGATCAAACCGCAACCCAAAGCAAAAATTCCCCTGAGACTGCCAACCTCTAAATTACAGAGATGACGCAGAACTGATTTCTCCTAGCTTTGATTAAAATTTGAATACTTTCTTCACTTTGCTTAAAAAAAATAAAAAAATAAAACATAATTAGAGAATGAAATATGACACAGAGGACCAAAAAATGAAGTAGAAAAATGGGAAATGTCAAAACAGTAGCACCAGCAGCTTAAAGGCCATCCATCTTCATCCCTCCTATTCCACTCGGAGTCAGGAGGAGAAATGTCTCCGGGGGCCCCCTTCCCCCCAAGTCCTACCCGGTCCTCAGCCCACGAGCCGGCCCGGGTGTAGGGCCTGTCCCCCCCATCGCTGTCGGCGGTGCTCGGCCTCCTGGGCGTCTCCTCGCTCTGCAGGCTGCAGGGGCTCGCCACATCCACGTCAAAAGTCTCATCTGAGCAGAATATGGCCTCCAGGATGTCATCGTCCGTCGTGAACAAGATGGTGTCTCCAAAGTGCTCTGGGGCTGGATGGGATGCCAGGGAGAGAGGAAGAGTCAACTCACCCCGCCCGAATCACAATGGTTTGGAGAGCAGGGACCCAGACCCACCAACCTCTATGCTAAAAACCCCATCCCCAACCACCACCAGTTCCTGATTTTTTTTTTATTTTATTTATTTATGATAGTCACACAGAGAGAGGAGAGAGAGAGAGAGAGAGAGAGAGAGAGAGAGAGAGAGAGAGACGGGCAGAGACACAGGCAGAGGGAGAAGCAGGCTCCATGCACCGGGAGCCCGACGTGGGATTCGATCCTGGGTCTTCAGGATCGTGCCCTGGGCCAAAGCAGGCGCCAAACCGCTGCGCCACCCAGGGATCCCCCAATTCCTGATTTATGTTAGGAAGCCTCCCTTATTATTATTCACACATTTGCAAATGGGATTCACATGCCCCAGGAACCACTGGGTCCTAATGAAGGGATCTAACCTAATGAGAGTCGTGATCCGGCCTGAAATGAGAGATGCTTCTAAGGTGTGGGGGAGGCACCTTAGCAGAAGCTGTTGGGGCCCCACCCAGGTGCCTGCTGATGCCTTTTGGGGGGCTAGAGGTTTGCCTGGAAGGGCATGGGAGTTACACCCCCAACCTTGGGGAGCCCTGCTGCTCTGCCTTAAGGCAGGACAGACCCTGCAAGTTATGCTCCAGAGCTCCGTTCGGGATCAGGCTGCAATTCGGCTTCCCCCTCGCCCTCGCCCTGCCTGGCATCTCCCATTCTCATCCTGTCTCTCTCCTTGCACCACAGGCTCTCCTGGGAGCACCCGCAAATAAGTCGCTTGTAGAAGAATCCCCCCTTCTTCAAGGCAGAAGCGGAGTAAGGACTGCACCCAGGGGAGGAGTTAAAATGAGGTCAGCTCTTGCGCCCCCCACGCTACAAAAAGCGAGGAGTGAGCCAGGCCCAGGAAGAAGAGAGACCCATCTGTCACTGGCTAGCCAGGGCCTTTTGTCTTTCCTCAGAGCCTCAGCGGGTAGCAGGTAGGGGCTTCCAGAACATTCTTACAGACATACTGTACCTCCCGTCAGGGTCCCTGAGGCCTTGGCGATTTCTCCTTTAAAGATGCACTGTGCGTCTAGCAGCATGGTGATGTCCTTCACGCCACGGAAGGAATGTATCCGAGATTTATTGTAGTTCCATATTCGGATCAGGGCGACTTGGCAAGGGTGCACGAAGTCTATGGAGATGGAGTGGGGCTTGCCCAGAGTGAAGGGGGCCAGCCAGACATGCATGTCGTCCTGGGTCCTGTTCACCCCGTCGATGAGGTTGGTGACCACGCGGGGGTCCTTCCCGTAGGCAGGTAAAACATTGATGTCAGGGGGGTCCGCGCAAATGTTCGCGATTTGCACTGGCTCCCCCTCTGAACTGAATATTTCTATTCCGTTGAGGCCGACATAGTGCCGGTCCCCCCATGTGGACTTGATGTCGATGACCAGGCGCTGTCCGTAAGGCAAGACAGGGATTTCAAAGTCACTGCCGTCGTCGGGCTCTCCGGGGCTGTCCTCCAGGCCTCTCCTTGGCTCTGGCTTCTCCTCCTTGCCGGGGGGCAGCTGCTCGCCATGCCGGCTGCCCTTCTGCTGCTGCAGGAACTCGTCCAGGATGTCCCCCTGCAGCTCCATATTGGAGATGCGTCCCCGGTGGGAGCGGTCAAAGGCGCTGAGCGAGTCCCAGGACTCGTGCAGCGTGTGCTCCTGCTCGCTGCAGCACCGGGAGCGCAGTGGCGTCTTGGCGGACTGGGTGTCTTCTGGAAGAACACAGGAGGGGTGGAGCCCCATTAGCGGCAGGTGTGCGAGTGGGGACCCTTACAGATGGTCCCAACTGAGGAGCTCTCGGCTAGGTGGGGTCGCCCTCGGGAGGGCATTCTAGAAATCAGGGGTGGGGGGGGTGTTGCTCTTGGCTGTCTCAACGCCTAGAGGCCCTCCTGGCCTTTGACCAGGGTGGGACCAGGATGGGACTCTCCTGCCCTGCACAGGACGCTCTGGGCCTCGGGTCACACGCCAACATTCAGCTTGGTAAACACTGATTATGGTTACCCGAGTCTCGATTCTGGTTGTTTTGCAAAAAATGCAAAACATTTTTCAATGTACTTTGGATTTTCTAAGAATGTGGCCCACATGCAGATCAAGGGCAGACCTTTTGTTGTGTGAGAACCTTTGCAGAGAAGCCATCCTACACTTCAGAGACTCCCAGGACGGGGTGGCCTGGCAACAGCGCCTGAGTCAGCAGGCAGAGGGGCTGCTCTGAGGCCGCCCTGTCACCTGACTCAGGATATTTTCAAAGAACGGATGGAATGCTCGCTCACACAAGAACGTTAGGTGGGGAGAAGCCAGCTGTGCTCTTGCGGCTGCCGCAGGACCCTGGTTATGGGCAGTGGGCACCCACGTGTAAACATGCTGCTTTCTGGGTGCGGAGTCATGAGGACTTCTAGCTTCTTCATCGTCACCTGATCTTCTGAGCTCCCCAGATGTACTATTTTTATAACCAAGAAAAAGTGCTATAAGAATTGCCAACAACACAGGTATACAGGTAAGGAGTTTACTCCTCTGTGTGGCTAGGCTGGCTTCAAGAAGGGAAGCCTGCGTCCCAGCATGTGCGGAGCTCAGGCCTGGCCCTCAGGGGGCCAGCTCTGAAGGCCGCACTCTCCTCCCTGTAGCACAGAAGAGGCCCGGCATGCACCCCCCGCGCGGCCTGTCCTCACAGCCACGCTGTGGCTAAGTGCCATGGAAGGGTGTCATTCTGGAAAAACAGCAGCTGATAGACACTGACGTTCTGTTTTTCCTCCTTTCATATTGGACTGTGCCCTGCACTCCATTTTCTGCCTGTCTCCTAGGGGGCCTGGCTTCATCAATTATCCTCTCTCTCCAGAACCCTCTGTCACCCCTTCCCCACTGGCACCTTGCCCTCTCTCTGCCTGCAGACATGCATAAATCTCTCCTACTGGAAAGAAAAGGGAAGCTGGACCTGATCTCGTGGCTTCCTCCAAAGGCTGCCCTATGTTCTCCCTCCCTCGGCTGCAGCCCCTGCGCCCTCCCCACTCCCACCTTCCCTCAACCCTGCTATGGAGGGGGGGGGGCTCTGCAGAGTTACCTGTTTGGTGCACCTAAGACCCACCTGCCCTCCTCCTGATTTTCCTTTGGGGATGCCCCCACCATCAGACCATCCAGATTAGGCGAATGCTGCCAGCTGTCCTTCTGGGTGGGGAAAGGAGCTATGGAGAGAGAGCGGCTCTCTTTAAACTGGCGCCCCTAGGTGGCAGGATGTTGGACAGTGCCAGTGGCCACTTTGCTATGCTGTGAGTGGCGGGGGTGGGGTGGGGTGGGGTGGAGGGGTGGGGATCCTGGCTGATAACGAAGCCAACACAGGGAACGTGAGCAGAGATGGAGAGTCCTGATGACGTCATTTGAGCCCCTGGATTTAGCCATGCCTGAAGCCAGAGCCCCGGTGGCCTCTGTAAGAGTCCTGTAATTCCCACAACCCTCCACTGAGCTGACTTTCTGCAAACCAGATACAGAATCATGATGACTTCCAGGTGGAGTCTCCCACTTGACAGTCCCTCCTCTGCTGGCTCAGGGCTTGGGAGCATTTGTGCTTCCTGTCTCTCCACTGCTGCTGTTGCCAGCCTCTCCACCCCCTAGCCCTACCCCGGGCTTCTGCCCAGCCCTGTCGGGTCCCCTCTCAACACTGCCCTCCCTTTCTGAGCTCACCCAGCCAGCTTCTAGTTGCCAGGCAGGCGATGCTCAATTTTCTATGGCAAGTTCTGGCTTCTCTTCCTCAGCCACCACTTTCTGGGCCCAGCGACCCCCCCCACCCCACCCCGAAGGTTCAGAGGTGTCCACTCTGTCACTTCAAGCTCCCTGTGCCTGAGAGGGAATCTGCCACTAATTCCTCCAATTGGCATTGTCTCCCCTAGCTGGGAATGACCAGGGCCCTGGGGGAGGCCCTCCGGCTTCACTAACCTCCCTAAAGATCAGCTCCGCCGTGTGGGCCTTTCTATTCTAAACCTTTTCCTGCCCATCTGTGGTGCCCTCTGCCCTGCTGAACCTCCTCGTCCCCCTCCTCCTCGGGGAGGACTTCTTTGCCCTGCTCCCTAGACTGTCCCAATCAATGCCTAGCATAGAACGCGGCGCACAGGAGTGCTCAGTGCGTGCTTGTCAGCCCAGGGACAGACGGCTGGCATCACCATTACACAACCTGTGGGTTTGGGCCCAGGAGCCCAGGGACTCCCCCCTCCACCTGTCAGCTCTGTATACCTGTCTTCCCCTCTCCCCTCCTTCTCATCTGCCATGATAAAAAAGACCCCAGGAGTTGCTTCCTCTCCTCCAGGTGTGAGGCTTAACATCTGGCAGAAAGAACTTCCCAGATGAATCGTCATGACATCAGTTTATTGGGGTTTGATTTCCATCAACTGCAATGAATGGCCTGGGTTGGTCTGTAAGTGAGCTGAGGACAGCAAACAGACGTCATGTGTCAGGGACTTTCTTGCCTGGGTTGGCAAGAAAGGCAGGACTTTGCTCTCGCTCTGCACCTGCTTTCAGATTTATTCTCCAAGATGTATGCTCTGGGTTTTGAAAACAGAGAGGTGCAGGGCTTGCTCCTGGACCTCTGGGCTGTGACAGCAGGTTGAGGGCACTGTCTGCAGGAGAACACATCACTCACTAGTCCCCGGGAGTCAGGAGGTGGGGGCGGCAAGGATCTGAGCTTTGTTTTATCTTTGTCAACATTCCTACCCATGGCTTGGAATGGACACCAGAAAGCTGCTGCTTTAATCTGCACCCAACACAGTCTGGGGGGTGGGGGGGGTGGGGACCATCAGCATAAGATGACAGGATCGAAGACTTTACAGTTTGCCCCCGCCAAGGGGTAGTTTTAAAGTTCAAAACCCAAGCTTATAAAAATCAAGAGCACCACGGTGTGGTATGTGCTAACCGTTACTAAAAGGGGGAACAAGAAGGAATGCAGTGAGACACAACAGAGCCATGTGAGTTCAAGGTGACCAGCCCTCCAGCCGCAGCTGATTGGACAAGGGGTAGACACCTGACCCACGTCAGCCAATCAGCGTCTCCCCTGAGACTTTGGGCATCAGAGCCGGGCAGCTGTCACTCTTGGGCTGCGGGCCTTTCCTGCCCTGTGCACAGAGCAGAGAAAGGAAGAGTGAGGAACAGTGGCAGAGGCAGGGCCCAGCAGCCCTGGGGAGTCAGGGAGAAGTGTCCTGGGCACCCCCTGGCTTTCTGCTTCCTCTTTCCAATCTCAGCTGATGGGTGGCCACACTTCCTGCCTCTGGAGGTCTTGTGCTCAAACTGGGCAGGTGCGATTTTATTCACCTCTAGCTCATGGAACCCCACTATTGCTGACACTTGCAAAATGCAGATGACATTACAATGAGATGCTCTGTTGGACAAAAGGATTTCGGGCTCTCTCTTTCTGTGACAACAATGACTGTGGCCCCAGGGAAGAACCCAGGTGGCCATTCATTTTACAAGCAATTGGAGGGCCCAGGCCCATGCCTTTCCTGAAGGGCATGGCTGTGGGATTTGGCTCTATGTAATGGGTAATTTAAAATTTCTAAGCAACTTTCCTTTTTAGCATGACTGGCTTAACAAGCATTAAATCTCCAGGGCTTGGTTCTCAATGTGTCATTAAGCCAAGCAGTGAAATGCCTGGAAAGAAATTAAAATGAGACAAAAATCTTCTGAATGTGGACAGGTTAGAATAACACCCTTCACCTTGGAGCTCCCAGAGGTTCTGTGGGTCTGTTTACCAGAAAGGCTCTAGATTGCCTGGCTCTCCCTGGTCAGGAGGCTGCGGTAATGGGGCTCTATAGGGTTAGTAATTCAAGGCATGGATGCTGGAGCAGGATGGCCTGGGTTCAGATCCTGCTCTAGCCCTTCCTGGCTGTGTGACCTGAGGACAGTTACTTACACCTCACGTTTTCTGTATCTGTCAAATGGGGATGGCGTGAGAATTAAATCATTTGAGTAATGTGCCTGGGCCAGAGCCTAGCTTAACACAGCATGCCATGCATCAAGCCACCCAAGTTTTTTCTTTACGCCATCCCTTCCATGCTTCAGAGGACCCACCACGTGTCGGGCACCTGGGTCCTGGGGACCCCGATACAGATGGGACATAGTCTCTGCCCTCAAAGAGCTTCTCAGTTCTTTTGCTCAGCTCTCCTCCCTGACACCCAGTCTCAGGGTAAAGTCCAGGTGAGGGTGGGCAGCAGAAGTTTGTAAGGCTGGGGAGGTGGGGGAGGGAGCTCTACCCAGAAGAAGGTGGAAAGGCACCTGGCATCTGAGAGACATGCCTCAGTGGCCTGTGTGACCTCAGGAGTCTGAAAGAAGCCACCAACTCTCTGCATGTCTAAGCACAGACTTGGGCTGAATGCAGACCTTTGGGGTCTGTCCTCTGGACAGTGACAGACTAGATGTTGACCTGATTCACTAGGGAACAGAAACACTGGCTTCACATACAGACACACCAGGAGGCAGAACACAGAGCGGGGGCAGTGGTGACGATAAACAGAAGCAGCTAACTCCTGCTGGGTGCTCCCGTGGGCCAGGTACTGTGCCAACCGCTGCACGCATATGGTCTCATTTTACCCTCCCATGAGATGGACATCATTGGCGTCATTTTACAGACAAGGGAACTGAGGCTTGGAGGGGTTTCGGAACTTGCCCACTGGGGATGGGGAGGTTGGTGGTGGATACTGCCCAGGTGGTTTGACTCCTGAGCGGTGCAGGGTGGAGTGGGGTTCCATTCAGAGGATCTAAGATCTGGTGCTTGCAGAGCACTTCCCACACACCAGGCTCTGGTTCATCATCTTATTCATGCCTCACAACATTGAGAAGGGGGGAGGTGGCTTGTTCTCATTTACAGATGAGGACGCCGAGGCTCCGAAAGTGGATATGCCCGGGTCTGTAAGTCCCAGCCTAGAGGTACCAGACCTAGAAATGGCAGAGGCTGGATTCAAATGGTCTGACTCCTAGCAGCTGTGCTACATACCCTCCCAGTAGCCAAATCTGAGTGCAAATATTTAGAAACCCAACCTTTCAAAGATTCCTCAGATATAATCTACTGCAAAGTTCACACACCAGGTGAGTCCTCCCAGCAGATTTTTTTTTTGACCCACATACAGGTTTAAAAATAATCTCAATCCAGTGCCAATATTGAAGAATAATATTCTACAGTTCTGATTTCTCTTTAAAAAAGGAGAAGGGAGGTCTGGCACATTGGCCTCGCATTGCTGAATGCCAGAAAGTGGAGGAGCAGCTGCCCCTCTCCAGCACCACAGACCTCACCACTCCCTACAGTACTTCCCACACCCAGGCAAGTGCCAAATGCTATTTATCATCACATTTGTGTTATTTTTCTGATGGTATGCTTAAGAATAAAGTGAAGTCATTAGAGACCTATGTCTCCTTCAGAGGTGGAATGACAGAGCCTAGACCGGAAAAACCACATTGCAAGAAAAATGAGCAAAGGGGATATAACTTGGTGGCAATGACAAGTATATTGAGGAGTTTAACATGCAGAATGGCTCTTGCTCGTTCTGCTCATTACTGCCACCTCTGTGGCACCCAAGACAGTGAATTTGTGACCATGGGTTGAGAAGAACCTCCTTGCCTTGCAGATGAAGCAACAGAGGTCCATGGAGCCAAATGGTATCATGCCAGTCAGCGGCCTGAGCTCAGGGATGGTGGCACCTGAGTCAGGCTGCTTCTCGAGCTTACCTCTGCCAGTTGGCTGGCCATCGCTGTGACTGCTCACGAGGGTGTCCTTCCTCAGGCCCCTCCTCCCACTAGCAGGGTGTTCCCTGCTGGAGGGCTGGTTAAAGATGTCAAAGTTGTCACTGACTTTGGGGGTCACCTTCTGGGCTCTCTCCCCAGCAATGACATTCCAGCTGCTTGACCGCCCTGGCTCATGCCTGGGGCCTTTATCTCCAACCTCTGTCTCTTTAGGATCCTCCCCCATAATGTCAATGATGGAGTTTGATGGAAGTTGGCCTCCCCAGTCCAGTGGCTTCTCAGGACTCAGCCAGAGGGGTTTGGGCTTCCTATCTCCCTGCTTCCTGCCCTTCCCTGTGACAGAAGGTTGCAACCAGGATGGGGTTTTTGCTGGCGGCTCAGAGACTTTTCTGCCCATAAGGTTTTCCAGCTGTTGGGTCAGAGAGAGCTCTGGGTCAAGGGGAGGGCGTTCCACAGTGGGGCAGAGCAGGGGAGCACTGGGCATACCACCTATTGAGGCTGGGGCTGCTGAGCAGCTCGCGTCTTCATCTAACTTGGACAAACTGTCCTTCATGTTGTCGGAAGGATTCATCTTTTCGCCAAATAACTTTCCTTGGGAAGAAACCTTTACATCCGCTCTTGCTCCAGCTGGCTGCGAGAGCTCCCCATCTGTGCCAGCCATCTTGCGGGCATCTCTGCTTTCTCCTGAGAGGGCACCCAGGGCCCTTCCCCTGCTCTCGTCACTCTCGGGTTTCAGGACCACCGGGATGCTGCAGTCAGCCGGGGCCTCTCCACCTCCTTTGTCTAACGTGCCATCAAAGATGAGATTTTTATTGACGTAGAGCTTCACGTTCTTGGCACCAATGTCGAGATCCTGAAAACACAAGATTTGACAAAATGAAGATGCGTGGTGGCATCAGGCGGACATATCACATTTTGGAAGTAGGAGATACAAAAGAAAAATGGGGAGTGCTAGAAACACGAGCTTTAAAAAAAAAAAAAAAAAACTATAGCACCAGGGATGTTAAATAAAGCCAGTGTCATTTCTGGGTGAACCCTTACAGACTCTATAAATCAAAGGATGTTCACAAAGAGACAGCCCCAATTGCTGCCTTCTCACCATTACTCCCTGCTGGGACATTGGTAATAGCCTGCTAATTGGTCTGCCTGCTTCCTGTCTCTTGCTGCCTTCAACCTCAACTTCACATTGCCAGAGTTCACTCTCTACAAGAGCAGAGCTGGCCCGGTCACTCCTCTTTGTCAAATTGTTCTTGTTTCTCGCTGCCTGTTCTTTAATACATGGTTCCTGGGATCTCTGCTTCAGGAAAGCCTGATGTGCACATAAAATGCAAAGCCCCTGGTTCCATGAGGGTCATATTTTGGATGCCCTGAAAGCAGAGCCTGAGGCAGGGGTTGAGTGCAGGTTGTTTATTTGGAAGCTGTTCCCAAGAGGGAGTAGGGGGAATAAGATAGGAGAAAACCCCCCAACAGTTTTTGAGCTGGTCCCTCCTGTATGCAGATGGGGCATCCTACTGGGGCACTTGGAGGAACCCATAGAACACACCTCAGAAGCGTCCCTCCCAAGGTGGGAGGCTGGGGTATCTATCCACTGACCCCCTTTCCTGCTGATGAAGTTTGCCCCTAGGGGCACTGGCTCCTCAGCACACAAGCTGAGGGCACTGGTGGCTCTCGAAAGGCAGAATGACCTAGGAGCACTTGAGGCGGTGCCCTGTCCGCCTGCCCACGGGCTGCCACACCCCAACTGCAACCGGAGGTGGGCGGAGGGGATGTGGTGTGGTGCTGTCCTGGTGACGGTTCTCTGGCTGATTCTTTGGCACATGGACGGTGGAGAACCTCAGGCCAATGGGATGGATTCCAAACTCCTCAGCATGACATATATACAGAAGCCTTCACAAAAGGATCCCTGGTTTAGCCTTCCCGTCTCCTCCTCCCCACAACCCTTGCACCCCCACAGCACGCGGGCATTGAACGCTTCTTTGTTCGTGCTTAAAATATAATCACACCTCCTCCTGCTACTGCCCTGTTTGTCCATTCCCCTTTAGAGCAAAACTCTTTCTTTAAAAACAGCTTTCTCGAGAAATAGAATATGTGCTTCATACCGTAAATCGTGCGTACAACTTGGTAAGTTTCGACACATGTATACACTAAGGTGGATCATCTCCACATCTGTCACCCCCAGAGTTTCCTTGTACCTCTAGGGAATCCCACCCTGCCCACGACTCCCACCCCCAGGCAACCGCCCATCAGCTTCCTGTCACTACAGATTATGCTGCCTTTTCTAGAATTTTTATATAAAAGGAAGCCCGTACCATGTACTTTTTTTGGCCTGACTTCTTTCACTTAGCATAAGTGAGGTTCACTGCATTGTGTGAATTCATAGTTTTATTCATTTTTATGCTGAGGAGTGGTCTGTTGCAGGGGTGCCCCAAAATCTGTCTGTTCAACTCTGAGGGTCACTGTCATGGATGCTCCTCCTCGCTTGTCTCCTGGCCTCACCCGAGTTGGGCCTCTATGCGGATCCTTCCTTGGCAAGGCTCCAATCGCCGGGGTGATGAAGCTTCCTTGTTAGTCTGGGACAAGTCGGATGTCGTCCTGTTGTCCTGGTGTAATCACTCATGAAACCCATTTTCCACCCTCTAAAGTGTCCTGGTTTGGCTGATAAGTTGTAGGGTTCAGCAGGTTGCCAGATCCACTGGGAGATGCACAGCCCTCAGCTGGGGCGGTGGCTCAGCAGGTTACTTACTCCCCTTCTACAGATTTCCTTCGGCGCTTCTGAGCCCTGTGCTCACCTGGTTTCCCTCTGGCCTCTGCTCTCACTGCTGCAGCACCAGGGTCCTTGCTTTTCCTCCTCTTTGCCTGCCCTGGGGCTCCATCCCAGGCTTCCAGCTCTCCCCGCACCCTTTCACTAGGTGTTCTCATCCAGGCTCGAGGTCCAAAATACCATCTTTGTGTTGATGACTCCTGATTAATTTCGCTTAATTATTTTAATCTCCAACCCTGAACTCTCCACCAGGCCAAGTGACTGCATGACCTCTCTTCTGGGATATCAAACAGGCGTCCCAACCTTATAACATGCTCCAAACAGAATCCATCCTTCCTTCCTTCAGCAAGAGAACAAGAGTGAGCAAGGGGGAAGGGAGGGGCAGAGAGATAGGGAGAATCCTAAGCAGACTCCATCCCTAGCATGGAGCCCACCTGACACGGGGCTCAATTCCAGCACCCCAAAATCATGAGCTGAATCAAAATCAAGAGCTGGTGCTTAGCCAACTGAGCCACTCAGGTGCCCCATCCCAAACTGAATTCTTGATCCACTTTTCCAAATCTGGTCTTTGCCCATCTTAACAGTGGTCCCAGCATTCAACTAGATGCCTCAGCCTAGGAGTCCTCCTTAATTCCTCTTGTTCTCTCACTTATGAATCCTACCTGTCAGAAGCCCCCTGCGGGCTACCTCCAAAACCCCTCCCGAAGCTCTGACCCCTTGTCCCTGAGCATCTGCTGCCTGTCACCCTAGGGTGACCACCATCTCTCCCTGAGACAAAGATCAGAGCCTCCCAATTGGCCTCCGTTTCTTCTCTACACTGTCACTGTGCTCCTGCTCAACACAAACACACTTTTTTGTCTACACAGCGGCCAGTCTTTTTTTTTTTTTTAACAACTTATCAGGTCACAGCAGCCCCCTGCTTAAAATGGCCCAGCAATTTCCCACTACACTGAGATTAAATTCCAGCTCCCTTCAGTGGAAAATGAGGCCCATGTGATCTGGCCCCTGCAGACCTCTCTGACCTATCACATTCCCCCTCTTGTCCTCACTCCCAACACACTGGTCTGACTGCTGCTCTGTGATGCTGCAAAGCTCAAGGCCACCCTGGGACCTGTGCATTGGGCTGCAATGTTCTGCCCCAGACACCTGCAAGGTGGGCTCCCTCTTGTCTTCCCAGAGATCTTCCTGAGTGACTTCCTCTTGAGCCCCCGGCCCACCCAGTCCCCTCTCTCCTGTCGCTCTGTTTGATTTCCTTCCTGTCTCTGAAATGGTCTTATCAGCTTTTTAGCTTAGATAATGTCTCCACCCGCTCCCCCAACTCAAATTTCAGCTCCAAGACAGTGGAGGCCCTACCAATCTTGTCCAAGGGCCCAACAGGTACCCGGCACATAGCTGGCACTCAACACTTGCTTTGGAACTGCAAAGCATGAACACACGTATTCTTCTCCAGGATGGCACTGCTCTCTGACGGCTTCCTGAGAATAAATCTGATCAGAAAAATGGCAGCCTGTTGTTTCACCTCTAGATCAGTTTCCACCTTGCTTTGGCTGTTGATCTGCTTTTGAGATATAGGATCTGAGAGCCCAGGGGTGTCCATCTCTACTCATTCCCCACCCTCTGCCTTCCTGCAGCTTGGAGAGTAAGCTCTAACTAAATTTCTAGTTCACCAAGTTACGGCCACAGAGGTTTCCGTAGCAATTTAGAAGGAGAAGCATCAAGCCCGTGTTACACCACAGGAACTCGGCTTCAATCATCCAATTGCGGGATGGCAGGCTACTATTTGCCGACTGTCAGAAAAGTCGATTCTCAAAGCACTCTTTTACATGTTTATATGGATGTGTTCTCTGTTTAGTGGAGGCACAGAGCAAGTGCGTGCTGTGAATTAATCAGGAGACAGCTATTCGAGAAGGACAGCATGGGCAGCTTCAACGACTCGTTCTGCACAATTACCACCACGGAAACATCTGGTGACACAGAAACACTCTCATTTCAAGAGGTGACGGGGGTGGTGGGGAGGCCTTCCGGTCCGGCGCAGTCACGAGGTGGGCACCCGGGCTCTCACAATGAGATGTCTGGCTTCCGAAGTGTGTTTGTCTACATTCCACGGACAGCCTGGAGCACCACCTGACTTCTAGCCGGCTGCTGCCTAGCTCCCGCCAAGACGTCTGGCCGAGGAGGGGACAGAAGGAGGGAAGCAGGTTGAGGCAGGGTGCCTGGTTCTCAGGCCCACAGGGGCCAGGCAGGTGGGGGAGAGATGCATTAAGGTGGACCTCAGGATGTGATGGGGGTGTGTGTGGGTAGCCGGGAGGCTCAGGCTCTGCCTGACGGTGCTTCAATCTGGCAAGTTTCCAACACTCCGCAGGCCAAACAAGCCATGTCTGTATGCGGATTTGGCCCAAGGATCATCAGAGTGGGCTCCCTGGCTGGCAGCAAGTAGTAGTCACTTCACTGGGGATTCCAAGTATGAAAAAAACAAAAGGCTGCGTCATCCCACACAGCCGTGGGCCTTAGAGCCCCTCTTGCAGATGACGACACTGAGGCTCAGCCTTCCCCGAGGTCATGCTGCTGGTGTGTGGGGAGCCACTCTGCCTGGCATCTCCCTTTGGGTCAGGCTAGACCACGAGAAGGCCTGGCCACTGACAGAATGACTTGCCCTGGGTGGAGCTCTGACCACATTTCTAGTTTTCCCTAAGTCCTCACTCCTCCCTCACCCCCAGAGGTGATCGCTGTGGGAGGGCCTGCACAGGTGTCCTTTCAGACTTTTCCTCCATATTTACCAACATGTTGACGTCCCCATCACCACACCTTCGGGGCGAGGTCAGAACCCACGTGAGATGCACATGTAGTGTATAGGAAGCCGGCCTGAGGATTTTGTAGGCCTGTGTTCCTTGGTGTCCCCGCAGCAAAGATCTGCATATGGGCATGGATACAGGGACAAGATTCTGTTGCTTCAAGAGCCACAATAAGCAGGCATTTAGTCCTCCCCATTTCCCTCCCTGGGCTGGCTTCCAAGAAGTTCGGGGTGGGGGCACTTGGTAAAGCATCTGCCTTCAGCTCAGGTCATGACCCCAGGGTCCCAGCCGTATATCAGG